TTCTACCAAATCGCAGTGACGTACTTCCGGTTAACATGAGATTACACACGTGCCGCCGTTACTAGTCAGTACACTTGGTGAAGCCGTTCGGTCGGGACCGTTTATCGAAGTGGACGTATTTACTACTATTTTTGTCTCAAAACCAGGTAATTATTCTTATTTACTTATATATTTCTTATTTCTAACCCTATCTATCGTATTTGATATGTTTTAGATTACCAAAATTGGGTTTATAGTTCGACGGGCGTAATATTCCTTAACTCTCCCTCGGTGGAGTGAACAAGCCTGCTTGTTATAAGCAAAAGAACGTAAGCCTCTCTCAGTATAGAGCAGTTCAGCGTAAGTCTCTCTCAGTTTAGAGCAGCCCGGCGTAAGTCTCTCTCAGTTTAGAGCAGCTGAAACAAAGGCCTTCACAGATAGACACAGAAATATCCAAGCGAAAGCGACGGAAAATCAAAGAAAGTTCGTTTTCTATACGGGGGATAATTTAGAAAGCCATATAAGTCGGAGAATAAGATGAAATAGAAATTTCGCAGKTTGTAAGTTTTAACTTACAAATAMCAGATTTGCATTTTAGCTTGCACGTTATGCTAATTTACAACTCGAAAATTCCCTAGTGTATTCTCGCGAGTCAATGGTTTATAATGTGCCTATTGTTTGCAGATAAAAATGTCAGATCACGAAGGCGAAGAGGCCGCGGGAACCTCAAGTTTAGATGCCAGAGAAAACGAAAGACCACTTGACTCAATGCGCTCTATGATGAATGAAATACTCTCGGACTTTAAGGACGAGATGARACAGGAGATAAGAGATCAGTTTGATGTAATGGCCGGCGAGGAAGAAGATGAAGATAACGAAGAGGACTCCAACKCTGATGTATTGACTTCAATGGAAGGATACCTGGGACAAACTACMCCAGGCAAACAGGATYCCCAATCCTTAGAAAGCCTGGCAGCTGAGTTYTYAACTTCTGACAAAATTGGACCACCAGTAAATGAACAGCTAGCTAGCATTGTCAATGAACTCCTTAAAGGAAAGCTACCCAGACAAAAGATGGAGGACCTCCTGAACAAGTACCAGAAGCCAAAGAACTGTGGTAACCTCATCTCACCAAAAGTAAACAAAGCTGTYTGGCTTCAGCTGAAGACAGATACAAAGAATGGGGACCATGCAATGCAGAAGGCCCAAAAGTTTCTCATACATTCGACTTATGCACTACTGGAGGGTTGCCAAAAAGCCTCCGACGATCTGCGGACTACGCTGCATGTGCATGCTCTGGTCCTGTTACTTTCTGGTAACAGGGAACTCAACATCAGAAGACGGGAGCTGCTGAAACCGGATCTGAATGCACGCTATGCTGCACTATGCAATCCAACCACACCAATAACCAGCGAGTTGTTTGGAGATGATGTGTCGAAGGAGATAGATGACCTTTCAAAGGCAAACAAATTAGGAAAGAAACTAGCAACGCCCAGTAGGATTAAAAGGGGATTCCACCCTTATGGTAGCTACCGCAACAGATTTGGTAGGGATGTATCCAGGCGCAGTGGAAACTCTGGCAGATACCAAGAGCGCCAGCAGTCTTTTTTAGCAGGAAGACTGTCCTTCAAGCAGAAGCAAAACAATCAGTCTGCTGCGAGGAAGGACCTCAACAAGTAACTCAGGTTAGCTACTTGAATAGTMTYAACAAAATAATTGAAAACCAAAAACCCTTTAGGGGAGGTCAAGTGAGAAACCATCTAGAACAATGGAAACAGATCACCTCTGATCAGTTTATTTTGGACTGTGTTGATAATTGCCATATCGAATTTGWTTTTGAACCATCACAAGTAATTAACAGGAGTAATGCCTGTGAAAAGTTCTCACCTGTAGAACAATTAGTCATTGATGATGAAATTGCAACCTTCGTAAAGAAAGGAATCATAGAATTGTCGGAACAAGAGCAAGGAGAAATTATTTCACCAATTTTTGTAAGGCCCAAAAAGGAATCAGGAAAATTTCGAGTGATTTTCAATTTAAAAGAGCTAAATGAAGCGGTTACATACCACAAATTCAAAATGGACACCTTGGAGTCAGCAATCAAGCTTATGCAACCANCAAACAAATGAAACATAGAAAAACCATGCATTGCTTATCAGTACTTAATTTGTTAAGCTTAGTTTTGTAGAATCATTCACATATGATCAGATGCCCAATAGATCTCTTTCGTGTTTAAAACTATAGATAAAAGACGGATTATGTTCTTCCAATCAATGTTTTATCAGAGGTTTTAAAGACTCAATAATGTGACCTAACAATCGATCCCCATTGGATAAATAGCTCATGAATTATTAATGAGTCTGATAATTTATGTCAATAAAGAGAAGATCATCATACCTCGAGTTGCAAGCATGTTAACGGTTATTTTGCTACCATCTGGATCTTTGTAATAATATCCAACTACTTTATCAGAATACATGAGTGGGCCATTGACCAACTTGTTGAAAATGTTATCGCTCAGGACTAGTCTGTTTGTGCATGATTTCATGGCAATTTCTACAAATTTGATTAAACCATTGACTTTAGCAAATCCCTTGTATTTTCCATTTACGATTTCGTGAGTCTCAGATTGCACTGACTTAGAGTGAATGTCTAAAAACTTCCTAATGTCCCTTTTGCGTAGGTYTTCATGGCAAGCAGGCAAAAAAACATGACATCCTTCATGTTGAAAGAAAGTATTCTTTGGCTCATTGATTAAGGTACAGCTTTTATCCAGATCTGGTTTAGAAAGTCGGTGAAGGTGAAAGTTTATTTCAGTTTTGACCAAATGGTTTTTCAAGTTTTCATAAAAACAGCAGAAATATGTAAAATACTTTGTGTCCTTATGTTTAGTGATGTAGTTATAATCATTGATTAATTTCCTAAAATTCTCATCATTACGAATAAAACAGCCATYCAGYACMAGTGGTTCATTCTCATCTTTAAGAGTAAGTTTGATGGAGGTGGTTCCCTCGGTCCCATCAGGGGGTGGTGGTTGGTTTCCAAGATTTCTTTCAAATGTACTCATGCTAAACTAMTGGTCAACTTGTTCTCGTCAGATTCCTGGGAATAAAATAAAATAGTTTCCAGATCATCAACCGAATGACAAAAATAATATATATTTATTACACATTGGAAATCTGATCACCCTTACCTATAAGACGATAAGTAGGTGCAACGACCACAGGTAGCCCAAAGTTATTATCAGAACAAAAACCTTCAATGGGTTTGYATGGTCATCTTCTTTGCAAATATTAATGACTCAGGCAGTGGACTTTCGGCGTAAGTTGGGCAATAAGTTGGGCAACCTGTGCAAGAACATTGTATCAATAAGATAACCTCATTAATTACTTCATAATGGTTGAATGATCAGTCAAATTGAATTTTGAAAGGACGCGTTGACCGTCCATACTTTGACAGAGAAAAAAAAAACGAATRAAAAAGCCATTGTGAACAGAGTTTCTGATCGGTTTTCATTCTTTGTTACTTGCTTCATCAGTTGTYACAAGAAGTCTYAAGGCCCGTGGTTTACACTWGCAATTTTTGCAGAGCAAATCGTACGTGTCAACAGCCCTGCGATTGTCGCGTCGATCAAAAATCGCCGCGAGTTGCAGCTAAATTTCAAGCATATTCGAATCTAAGCCGTTTGTCTTGCGACAATCGCGCTGCAAAAATTGCAAGTGTAAACGGTCCTTCATGGCACTGTTAGTGGATTGATRTGATGACCTGTGTTGCTCTTTAAGATTCCTTTGTGTTTGTTGACATAAATGGCGGAGCTGATAGTTCGAGCGTAAACGATAAAGGGTAAGCTATTGCTGTTCAAAGCACAATCTAATGCGCAGACCTCACAACACAAAAACACTAAATTAACAATTTCAATGAAAATAACGGCTATTTATTCGCAGTTTTTCAGTGTCATATAAAAATTCATTTCGAAGGCATATCTTGATTTACTTATGTCTTCGAGCGTTATTTGGAGCCCTGTGTGTGTGTATACATTCCCCTCTCTGCAGGAAGTTGTCCGTCATGCAATACGTCTAAGCGTTACTGGCGATGATTTATGCATTTGCATACAGATCAATTCGAGCTAAAATCAATATGCAACATACTTCATTGATAAATCCACAGACTTCAGCTTCATACAGTTTCCTTACGCTAACACGACAGTAACTTAAGGGTAAACTTATCATACATACTTAAATGAAGGACAGCCATATAAAGCATCGCTTGATTTCTYTGATTTACGTTTCTTTCTCCGATGCCATTGTAACCTCTAAAAACAGTAATGTCCTCTTTCACGTGAATTAAGWGCAGTTTCAGTGCAGTAGAAGTATCTTTATGAGTAGTATTGACGAGTTTATTACTCTTCAAAAAGACTCAGACGATTCGATGACCCCTTAGTTTCCTTTATGCAAATGAGTTCTTGAAAGCTGTTATGATTGACAGTGCGTCATGTGAGGAAGACAGGAAGCCCAAGAGTAGAAAGAAGAGAGAAAGGAAGAGAGACGACGAGAATAGACGCCGGRCTGCAAAGGAATCTAAGTTTTCCGATTGGTTACATACATGACATTTAAGATAACCATTGATTGCGTGAAATATTGCAATTGTTTCTTTATTTGACTCTGTGTAGTCCTATTACCTAATATTTATATATCCACATATTTAGTTCCTGTCCAATAAAATAAAATGAGTACTTATTTAGAATTTATAATAGTTGATATATATMATTATATAAAGAAATCAACATTCTTTTTATAGACGTCTTGACAATATCTCAATCTCAGGGTCTGAATGTGTGYAGTGTTATAAAGCCTTATCAGAAATTATAGGGGACTTGAAACCGGTAGAAACGCCGTGCCATCCGTTGAAATATTCAAATCTTATTTGCATCTCATTTCCTTATTTGGAACAATTCAATTTACCCTATAGCCAACCCAAACTGGCCTTAAATCTCTTATCCAACGCACAAATTTTCCAAATATGGTCATAACAGTTCGTTTTCGAATTTTCAATGAGCTTTGAATATTACGAAGCTTGATACTAAAGAAATATACGGTCGCTACACGGCAGAAAATTAGTCAGAACCATCCGCCTCCAACAAAGCCTAAGATACAAGATACAAGATACAAGATATTTTATTATTGCCTCTGTGTAAATGGTATTTACATTAGAGTTTATATGCAATAACATACTTTATGATTGTATATATTATTAATGAAATGTTCCAGTAACCTTTTTTCTTATTTCAAAGCATTCATAAATGTGTTTTGCGATTATTTTTTGAAACAATTTATTTGAAATTGGATTTATCATATAGTGAAACTTTTCGTCTTCAGTAAGAAACTCGATATTTTTCTTTGTAATAATATTTATCTTTTCAAATATTTCTTTTCTCTTTGTGGAGAAAAAGGAACATCTGAGAAGAAAATGTTTCTCATCTTCACTTTCATTTTTGCAGAGAGGACATATTCTCTCTTCTGGTTTGACATATGGGCGTGAATACCTCCCTCTTTCAATTTCTAAAGAATGATTACTAATTCTAAGTTTAGTAAGTGCTATTCTATGTTTGATATTGCTGACTTCTTTGAGATAACTTTCCTGTTGGTAGGTTATTTTAAAAGTTCTATAAGTTCTAAGTTTGTTTCTTTGAGTGTCTTTTCTACCCATATCATCATGAATTTCCCCTAGCCATGTTTGTATTTCAATGTTCTCTAATCTCTGTTTTATTTGTTTTGCTAGTATTCTCCCTTTCATTTTGTCAAAATTTTGTTGCCATACAAAGCTGTAGCCTAATTTGTTTAAAATTTGTTTGACTTTCCCGCTCCAGCTACATGAATCTGGAGTGTTGTCAACAGCACAGTCTTGTAACGTTAGGTATGATAACTTTATTTTATCAGAAGTAACGAAATTAATCCAAAACTTTATCACTCTTAATCTGGCACTTACTCTTAAGGTAAATAGTCCCAGTTCTGATCTGCACGCGTTGTTTGATGCCCGTTTATTGACTCCTAGTAACATTTTGCAAAACTTTATATGCACAGCTTCTGCGGGGTCGTTTTTGATGTTATCTTTGATATCAGCACCCCACACCTCACTTCCATATAGTAGGATAGGCTTGATTAGAGAGTTAAATAATTTAATGGTTAGATATATGTCTGTCATAAAGTGATCTCCGAGATCTCTTCTAAGCTTAAACAAAGCTTTTAACGCTATCTTCTTTAGTTCTTCTCTTGCATTGCTAAAGGTTCCAAAAGCGCTATTAAAGTATAGTCCTAGAAATTTATAGCTTTTCACATTTTCAAGTTTAGCATTTTTAAGATAAAATTCAAAATTACTCATTCTTTTGCCAGTGTTATTAAAGACCATGGCTTTAGTTTTTTCCACAGATTAGTGTATATTTTTGATACTTCGCAAAAGTATTGCAGTCTGTTTAATTGATGTTGGAGACCCGTTTTCGTTTGCGATATTAACACTAAATCATCAGCGTACAAAAGTCCTTTTATTCTATAATTATTTGCCACTGTTAGATAAGACGCATCATCATTGAGAACTTTTGGTAAATCGTGTAGAAAAATATTGAACAGTGTGGGAGACAGCATACATCCTTGTTTGACACCTGTATAGCATCTAAAGCTCCTAGTAACGGTTTCGTTTATTTTCATTGATGATTCATCGTTGGAATACAAGGAMGCTAGTACAGCATAGAAGTTGCCTGATATTCCAATCTTCCTAATTTTTTCAAATAGCTTCTCCCTTGGAATCGAGTCAAACGCTTTTTTGAAATCCACAAAACACGTAAATAAATAGTTTTTCGTTTTTTTCTTTTTTCTTTTCACATATTTATCTATCAATGTTTTCAAAATAAGTATATTATCCATCGTACTGTGTTTAGATCTGAACCCACATAGTTCATGGGGTAGTATGCCATTAGTTTCTAAATAATATTCTAGTCTTTTGTTAAGGATTTGAGTAAACAATTTCCCAAGACATGATAACAAAGTTATACCTCGATAATTTTCCGCGAGACACT